GCATCCACAACCCCAGGCCACCACCCAAATCACGAAAGCAATTTGAAGAATATGATCCGAGAAAATGGCGAGAACCACAGTACTGTAGACTAAGCCGTAGAAGCCAAGCTGCGCAATTTTAGTTAGATTGACAAAAAATGGACAGCATAGCATCGATTGTTCGAAATGCACCCTTTCCTTGTTGGCGTCTCTTTATGCCTGCATTTGAATCCGCTAAAAGAAGTTTCTGCATTAAGATATACGCTTCATCCTATGCTTGGAGATTGCGTGCACCATGATGTTGCCAATACTATTTGGTCTTGATCCATCGTCATAATTAGTTATCTAATTTTCCCTTCGGTTGCCGTTAAAAATCACTGACTGGCTCTTACATCGTTCGATTCGAGTCCAAATGCAACTTTCAAAAGCTCCCAAAAACGATTATGATATTTAGACTCCACAATTTAGTTGCATTCTTCATACAGTCTCCTAGTGACTCAAGAGAATAATGAATATGCGGTTATTTTTAATTAATGTAAATTTTATATCCTTTTTGACCTAACGTGGCTTGCTCGTGTATGGACAGTTTTGACGGATCTTTTTGCGTCAAAGCGAAACGTAGATGCTTCGTGAATTCGTAATCTTGAACGGCTATATTTGAAGATGTTGAGGGATCGCTCATTATTTATCATTATTAAACGTTGCAATGTGGACCAGAGGGTTTTTGTTTCGATAAGCAATCAGATGCGTCCATCCTTTCGAAATATTTATTTTATGTGCGATTAAGCATATGTATACACTTTTGTCAACAAATCACAGAAGTAATTTTGAGAAGAAGACGACTCTATCGCTGGGACAATACTGTTATTCGCCTGACGTTTCGACATCCGTCGTGGATTCATCATCAGAAACATTAGCAGAAAACGGTAGCAGAAGTAATTTTCCTAATTTTGCTGATCAACTGCTAGTTCCTTGGTGAAAAATTCGGTATTTTAATTACTTGAATGGTTAAAACAAGTAGACACTGCCTTTATATTTGCTCAAACCTTCCCTTCAGAAGGTGGGAATAAATAAGGCTTTAAAAAAGGCGTTAAACGTTTACAACAAATTAAAAGCTTCTATACAAATTCATATACTCTTTCATTTTTAAACCCAAGTTCCAGGTTACATGCCTGTCGAGGTTAAGATGAATCAACTGAGAATTATCATTATATCCAGGAAATGAATTTAGTTTGGAATGTTTTTGACAAGAAACTATACTTTTTGCCGAAAGGCGGATTAATCACTACACCATTAGTTTACAGCGAAAGTCATCAAGCATTACGAGGAAGAATGGTCTCAAGGTGTGGAGTTTCGACGAAAAATTCTTATTCTAACCAAAACTTGTTGTTCCAGCTAAGGTTGTCTAGTTGGAGTCAACTACTCCTTCAAGCTATTTTCTCAGGATGACTAGAGAGTGTGAATCAAAAGAAAGTCCACCCCCAAGCAGACGTATAAACCAAGGACTTGGCTGACGCTGTCCTAGAGTAGGAAAATGCCCTAACCCTGCTGTGAGAGAATTAGGGGAGCACCAGTTACAAGTTGTCCACCAACCAAAGGCTACATCATTCGGCCGGCCTCTAGAACCTAAATAAGCAAGAAACAAATCCCCTCAAGTACGTGTGATACAGCATATAGTAGTCCAACTGCAACATTCATTTTCCATGCATATATAGATACCAGTTGACAGTAAAGCGAAAACTCCGCCTGTCTCACTTAGTCAAGTCCATAGCACAAAATAAAATAACAAGAACAAATGTACGCTAAACTACTGATCCGTATTTCGATCACGAGACTGCTTGAGTTAGTTCACTTACTGTATACGATAAATGCCAAAGACAATTCTTCAAGAGAACAGCTCACATTTTACGCACCTGCCCTATTCGATAAGACCAGGTAGGCCCCAAAATCATATTATCGGTCGATTAATTCTGAAGCTTAACTGCTTTCCACGTTAAATGCGTCTTATACCTGGAGAATCAGTGTAAATAATTATGGTTTGTTTCGAGGCAATGGAACTATATAGAAGGTCAACTAGCCAGCCCTAGATACTGGAGATATGCAATATTGACGTTAGACCATTCTTAGGTCATATGTTGACTGCCGTACAAATGAGACTACCAAACTCACATGTCTAGAGTCTTGAACACCGAGTTCGGCGAGAGTATAATGGGACCAGGAGGAAGACTTTCCTTGTCTTGCACTAGCTCTTCAAGTAGACTCCGCGTGGCATTTGCCTGTCCAATGGCTCGTGCCGAAACGTACATAATATGGAATCCGTTGTGTGCAATCTCCTTGTAGAGTTTAGTTACACCAGTTTGGACCCATTCAAGGCCTACGAGTGGCATGAGATGCCCAAGTATGTCAGATCTACAGCAGAGGAGAAGAAGAATAGGCTCTAAACGGCTGCTAAATCAAACAAATGATACAGGACGGAATCGAAGGAGTAGTAATATGTGTTTCTACGTTTTCAGTGTATCAAAGTCCATCTGGCGTAACAAAGAAAAACCTGCACAATCGGATTTACACCTTTAAAAAGGCTACAAAATCATTGGCGTCAAAGCACAGAGGCCAATTTAATATTGCCTTGACGTCTGGACTGCTTTAGCCTTCAACAAGAATTTACTAGCAGCATCTGGAAAATACAGTCTTTCTTCACGTCTTGCTTCCACTGGATTGGCCAAACCTGAAGATACAATGAGCTCAAACGCGAGTTATTTTTTAAGTGAGGGTAGACTTTCGCCGCAGCTGCTGTACTTTCTCGTTCCTCACACGCCCGTGCCCGGTGTCGTGACGGAGTCATGATCTAGCACCCGTGCTGGTCCAGTGCATCTGTCACGCGGTCCTTTTAGGGGAGAAAATCCGGACCAGGAGCCACAACATATACCCACCGCACCTGCCTCAGCTATCTGCACTGCCGACGCACATTCGCTTACCACGTGGGCCTAGTAGGTCACATGCGCCTACAATGAAAACCTGCGGTAAAACACCGTAGGACACGCCACGTCTTCACATCTTTCCTCACCAGCACGTGTAGCAGACATGCCCACACCCGGCATCATACAACGCATGCTCACGAATGACACCTCCCACGTAAGGGGAAAATGCGTTCCTCGGCTCCTTCTCCAAATAGCTCCTCTACTACACGCCTAAGCCTATCACGGTGGCTAAACACTGTGATTTTGAAGGTTGCCAACTGTTGATTGAACCCAGATCGCGAAATTTCTACGAGTTTGTGTGACATGGCCGACGGGTGGACTGAAAGTCAAGCGGCAATGGCTTTGCCTATATCTGACGTCTGGAA